GAGAAAGCCCAAAAAAGGGCTCAGAAAAAAGTTGACTTGATTTTTTAATTTGACGACTCTGTATATAACAATACAGGGAGAAAAAAGCAGCCCTTGCTGAGTTTCTTGCCGGTTCTTCTCAGTACAAGGTCTCCCGCCGTAGTTTTGCGAACCGATGGCGTAGCTTCTTGACCTTCACAAGTGCTTGTAACAGCTTATACTGAATAAATGACATTTCATTTCAAAGCCGAGATTTTTTTTTTTTTTTTACGTATTACTGTTACAATTTTTAAAAGACTGAGGGAAACTTATTTTATTATTAAATTTTAAATATGTTTAATACTAAACAAAAAACCCGTCTGCAGTTAAAAAAAATAACTAAAAAGTAAAAAAAAGCTAGTATTTTTCTCGCTTTACAGATAAAAATGGTCTCATTAAGACCTTTTTCACGTGTTACCTATATATATTGTAATAATAAGAAGACTTTTTTTAATTGACATAAAGACTTGATATTTTGTCATTGCTGTTATTTCAATTTTAAAAGTTTGGCTATCCAATGTTACCCAGGACGGTGAAAGGGTTCTAACGATATCACATACATATAAATTGATTCAGGCGTTTAGAAGTAGTGTTGCCGAACTATCGATATTAAAACTATCGACAGTTTACATCGAAAATCATGTACCCTATCGATAGGCCTATCGATAGAATCGATACTACCGATAGTATCGATATTATCGATAGCTCAGAACAAGGCAATACTATCGATACTATCGATACTATTCTACTACGTTAATAACAAACTATTGATAGTATCGATACTTTTGATAGTATCGATACTATCGCTAAGCCGATCGATTGTCATACGATTGGTTGGCTATCGATAGACTATCGATTAATCATCGATAGTCGACTATCGATCGGCAACACTATTTAGAAGTTATGGTGGAATAAAGAATTGAACATACCTACATGAACTCTACATTACACTCTTTCTTTTGGGCGGTCGTGTAAAAATAACTTTGAATAAATTATAATTAAAAGCATGTTTGATAAAATTTATTAAAAACTTGCATTAATTATCGCTGGGTAAAAGGTATAACATTTTATTAAATATTAATTTAATTTCTTTCATTTATTGGTATTAAAATTGGTTGCTTCGATGTTCTTTAATTTTTATTAAATAATAGAGTTTAATATTAAAAAATGTGATCTTACTGTATGCCTATTTTCGTAGAAATTTGTCTCATTAAAAATTGTATTTAACCAAGCTCAATATTTTCATTGAGATATAAATTTTCAAAACCACCAAAACATTACTATTTGTAGCGTTAATATGTATAATGTTTTTATTACAAGCTTTTATTTAACTTGCTATGTATGTTTGTTACGGTCAAATCTTACAACTCAATGCACTTGCCTTCAATCGATTAAGCTGAAATTTGGTATGCTCGTTCAGTTCGGATGACAATGCATGATTAACAGTGTGACGTCATTCTAAATCCAATATGGCGGCATACCCAAAATGGCGGACTAATCATGTTTAATGCATTCCTACAATATGGGTATCAAATTAAAGGGCTTGCTGAGAGTAACTCGAAAAAAATGTGACGTCATTCTCAATCCAATATGGCGGACTTCTAAAATTTGAAAATCTATTTAGAAACAGATATCTTTAACTAATTTAGTTGAAATTTTTTAAACATTTTATGTACCGATTTCATGCTGTGATGAAGTTCATGTCAAACAATCATGAAGTTTTAAATGGTCCTATAAAAGACTATTGGTGGAGAATTGAGTTCCAGAATCGTGGGAGCCCCCATGTAAAAGTTTTTTTTTCTTTTAGCGCATTTAAATAAAAGCTTGTTATTTAAAAAAAAAATTACTTTTATTTAAATTATAATTCAATCATCTTGTTAGAGAATAGATTAATTAATTAGACTCAAAGAGATTCCTTGGTTTTATTCCACTATGCAGGACCCCCGAAGGGAGGCAGGCAAGCGCTATCCGTAACACGGTATGGTTGCAAATGGAGAGAAATATAAAAAAAATCTAGCCTAACGCTGCTTTCTGCCGAGCTTTTTTAATATAATATCTTTAACACATTGTTAAAATATCTTAATATATATATAAATCTCGTGTCACAATGTTTGTCCTCAATGGACTCCTAAACCACTGAACCGATTATAATAAAATTCGCACACCATGTGCAGTTCGATCCAACTTGAGAGATAGGATAGTTTAAATCTCAAATTATAGTCGCAATTTTAATTTATTACAAATTATTACTTTTGGGCGGTACGAAGTTCGCCGAGTCAGCTAGTAATATTATATAATAAGCATCAAACTGGAAGATTCTCAAGAAAATTTGACGAGAATATATCTTGACTTGAGTATGTTAGAGCGAAGAGAGTAATAATTAATTTTATTTTAGTATTTTTTTTTATTGTGTACACAGTACAGCCATGCTAATTTTATATAATTCATGCAACTTTTGTTTATTTATCAAAAATAGCTTTTTAACAGTTTACAAATGGATTTTAATAATATACCATCCCTGTTTATTAAGCCGTCTACTCTTCCATCTCTTAATCCTTAACTAATATACGTTACAAACTTACGTCGTATATAATTTTATTAAAAAGAGGTAATTCATACTATTATCTTTTTTTCATAATATAGTATGAAACTACAGTTTATATTATATAAACATGAGCATTTACCCTCATTTACCCTTATCATGTTGTAAAATGGCTGTACTATGTTAGCGAGAAGAACATACCGCCAGACAGACAGTGGAAAGGCAAAATCGCTTATACGCCACTTTGGTCGTAAATTATCTCTTTTTCATAATATAGTATGAAACTACAGTTTATATTATATAAACATAAGCATTTATCCTTATCATGTTGTAAAATGGCTGTACTATGTTAGCGAGAAGAACATACCGCCAGACAGACAGTGGAAAGGCAAAATCGCTTATACGCCACTTTGGTCGTAAATGAGTTATATTTATCATTCTAATCGTGTTTTTTTTCTGCGTCGATCTGTTTGTTTCGTGAAGATTTGAGTACATTTTCGGCGTTTAAGCAACTAAATTTTTTGAAGATTTTTATTGTTCACAAAGCTTAAGCGACATATATTTTGGTGATTTTTGAACCAATGGCGCTTACGCTCTTCTATTTGGCGTATGATTTCATGTTTGCTCGACAAAAAATGTATGGCGGGCCGAGTGTATTTCGCTTAAGCGACATCTTATTCTTATAGTAAAGGCACTATGTAACGTTTTAACAGGAGGATATATAGAAAAGTATGATTTAATGTTTGCTTGACAGGAAATGTATGGCGGCCCGAGTGTTTTTCGCTTAAGCGACATCTAATTCGTAAAGTATAGGCCCTGTGTAACTTTTTAATAGGAAGATAAATAGAAAATATTTTTTATAAATATGTTTTAATTTATATGACGCTACTTCTCATTTACAATGAGTTATGATTTTTTGTTAGAGAAAATTTCTTTGATTCTTGTTTCTGTAAAGTTACTTAAGTGGCGTTTAAGCTATTTTGCTTTTCCACTGTCGATATTTATTGCAATATGGTACTTGAAAGAGTTGGATCACTAAAGTTCAGTTGTATATTATGATATGAATGATTTATGTCATAAATTGTCGTTAAGTATATTTATGTGCCGCTTGCGCAAGCTACGCTAGTAAAATTAAATTATATTATTATTATTGAGTTCTATATGCATTGTTATTAAAAACTCTTATAACTTGCGACTACTGTTAATACACAAGCATCTAAAGTGTACAATGTGTGTAAAAAGATTTATGCCGACAATCCTTCCTTAATGACTTCTTAGAATGGAAAACATTAATATGGCTTTGAAAAAATAGGCTGGGTAAAATAAACGAAATTCTATTTTGTCCGTCAATAAAATTATCAAAGAATAAGCGACACATACTTTTCCTTTTGTCAATCAACCAAAAAAATAACAAAGATAAACCGCGTGTAAGTTTATGAGCAGGGGCTCGTGACGTCACTTCTTGGTAAAAAAATGTACCTAGACATGACGGCATGCGACATTTCAAATCATCTAAGGCATGTTTCGATTATGTGAATAGAGAAAAAATACGTGTCCAATAAATACACACAACAATTTGTGATCATCCATATAATGCGATTCAACTAAGAACAGGACCGACTGGGCGCCATATTTTGACGTCATAGATGTCATTTCAAACCAAATAGGTAGAGTGAGCAAAAAAAGTTTCTATTTCATAAAACTTATTTACTTAGATTAACTGAGAGAAACATGAGATTTTAAATAAAATTAATTTACTAAGATTGAGAGAAAAAACAAACGATTTTTAATAACTACTGTGTGAGAAAAAACATTAATCAGAATCTATCTAGCTCTTTAATTCCGCTCATCTTTGCATTACCGGAGTAGTTATGATTATGATATGTAAACGAAAGTTTTAAATCCAGTTTATGAACGCAACATAAAGTGACATTTAGTTGACGATGTAGGTTATCAACCATTCATAGCCAAAACTCAATAAATGAAAAAAAGATCAGCCAATATTAATTATCAGTATTTGTTATTGTTTGTTTAAAAATTATTGATTTTTACTTTAGAATTATCTGAGTGCTAAAAAAGTGTTCCGAGATTTTTTTGCAAACTGTACTCTTCAAGCGACATTTGACAGATGGTGGTCATTGGCTTTCCTATTCTTATTTGAATCGCATTATATTATATTTTTATTCGTCCATATCGCAAATATTAAACGCCTGTCAAATGGCACGTAATAAATTATTAAATATGATTGCTATCTTTAAACGCTTTTGTTACTCACCAGTTACTCTATTATTTACGTCTTCGTCTTCTATTATTTACAAATAAATAAATAAAAAAAAACCCGCTTTTGTCGTAGCTTCGCTTGCGATCCAATAATCCAATGTCAATAAATTCGTTACTAACACGATTTAAAGTATGCTCTTGCGCACTTTTATCCCTTTAGTTGGTGACCGAGAGACCGCTCAGGGCAGAAGTGGAGCGAGAGAGGAGGTTGTCTCAAAGGACTAGCCTTCTCACTTCCTCCGCGCCGCCTTCGAACAGAGATTCCATGGGTAAGTAACGTAGTGTCTTGAACGTAACGTAGTGTTTTGTCTTCCCTTACGCCAATTTCATTCAGAGTGGTTTGTACCACAGTATACCCAGAACAGTAATACGTCTTCATACAATCTGGACGCTGTCCATTAGAATGTGTGCTTTCGTACTCGGCGCCGTGTAGGCACGCACTGTGATGTACAGTACCCGGCACGTAAGTTGAACCCGAATTTTAGTTTTCAGCGCATGTTTTGTCACGGGCACTATACACATTGACATAAAATACGGGTGCATAAGCGGGCGGCAGTTAGGGATGTCGAAAGTTGAAAAAAATATCGATATATCGATACATCGAACTTTAAAAAATATCAATATCGGCTTCGATATATCGCGAAAAAAACATCGATATATCGATATATCGGACCAATTTTCCCAAAAATATCGTAGAGTAGCTCAAGAAATATGACACGCGGAATAATAATGGAACGAAAATTATTTCCTTAAAAATAGACCCTATTTTCGAATGATGAAAATGATTGCAGGGCCTCTCAGGTAAATGATTGCAGGGTCTCTTTCGTTAACAAGACTAGACAGTCACACACTTCACAGAATATAATGGAAATCAGCACAACCAATTCACCAGCGAAACAGATTTGCAAATAATAGACAATACTAAAAACAGTACAGATCATAGATATGTTGAATATAATTAATCTGAGATCCAGTTACGATTTTTCCAGATTTAGTTAGATCGTGATATGCCGCTAATAATTAAAAAAATATCGTTTTTGATACGAATTTTGATATTGGTTATTTTGTATCGATGTATCGATATATCGAATCAAAATATATCGGCAAAAAATATCGATATATCGATACATCGATATATTTTCAACAAGCCTAGCGGCAGTCTGGGCCATGCATTCGGTGTTATCGCGCGTGTACAAGGTGATTGCCTGTTCGTTTTCTGCTCGTTCCTGCCCGGCACATTAGCGCTCGCAACCTTAGATTAAAACAAAAAGGGTAGATACGGTACGCGCATACTTGCATCAAACAAAAACTGATCCCACGGCAGCGCGAACGGGACGGCGAGATCTGCGTCACTGCATTACCGACCCGAACGAAACAGCACGTTAAGTTTCAACGGCAGCGCGAACGAGACGGTGAGATCCGCGTCACTGCACTACCGACCAATCACGCGACCAGTACTCGACGTCACTACCGAATAAGATTCAAAACAAACAGCAATTTTTATGAAAAAATATATTTTATAATACTTACGAATGAAAAGTGATGGCGTGGGTTTTATTTTCAGTTCTTGAGCAAATTAAGCACTTTTTAAAAACACACTTAGGAATTGTTTTACCATATAAACACAAAATATTAGCAATATTTCTTTTTGGCTTTCACATGTACGTCGTTTGCATGTCAAGTTGTGACTAAAGCGATTAGGGTCGTGAACCACAATTCATGCGGATCACTTTTGTGAGGCTAGTGCCGTATCTACCCTTTTTGTTTTAATCTAAGCTCGCAACCGCCGCTTTAGTTTTTAGCGCAATTTGATATTAAATTAGTCATGTCTTACAATGTCCTGCCCATGCTTCCCTATAAGCTTTTTGAAAAAGTTGTATATAAGAATGAGAATTTCGTCTGCTAACAATAAAGCGTTCCGAACAAGCAGAAACTTAAGATTTATTTTTTTTTAATTTCAAATTTGTAAATTTTTAATAAATGCTATGTACATAATTATGTAAAAATTAAAAAGAACCTCATTTTATTAACTAGTAAAACGTTTTATTATTATAATATAATAAATATTGGTATATTTTAAAATACAGTGCTGCATATTATACACATAATACACAAATATTTAACCATAAAATAAAGTGACAAACACTCAACTAATAAACTACTATTCTGGGTATACTGTGTTTGTACGCCGGGTTTCAAGGTTCGAATCCCAGTGGGGATCAGATGTTTGTGTGATGAATACGAGCATTTGTACACCAACCATGGATGTTTAATATGTATTTCTATATAAATATGTGTCAGTATATGCATTAATTTAATTTGATAAATACTTAAAAAAAAAAAATTCAATCACATATTTTTAAGTATTTCCCAATTTACATTTATTTCCTTAACCTAAGCATCTCTCAAAAAACAAAGATACCCATTTTTAAATCTACCAACAAACTAAGTGAAAATGCACCTTATCTCCAGGCACTACTGATTCTAACCAAGACGACGAAGAACCTCCACCGTTACCCGAAAAACTATCCCACAGGAGTATGGACTTAGACGGAGACAACAATAATAATTCTGACACCACACCACTCCCACCTAGAAACAACTACGACATGGTATGGACCCCTAGGGGGTCCTTCCTATACAATTCCATAGCTATGCGACGGAACACGGGCGTTGATAAGCCACCGACGCCGCCACCAAAAAAGAAAAACGCGCAAAATAATAATATTTAACATAATAAAAATTAGTTTTATTATAAGCTATTTGCGTTAAAATAAAAGACGAGCGAGCCTTACAGTAGTCGCGTATGATGTGTAACATTTGAAACCTCACCTTATATTAGTAAAAAATGGAATAAAACCTACTACAAAAGGAAGGAAAAAGTTCAAATTGCTTATTTGAACATTATGTTCTAAAATCAAATCAAATGGCGCGCGCTTTCGCGACTTCCTGTTACACACTTCCGTCCCATTTCACGAAATCACCCCCACAAATTGCAAGCGAGAGGAAAGATGTTACACATCAAAAGCTTCAAGCTTTTAATAGTGCGTTAAAGCCTATTACAGGTCGCGGCACATAACTCTAGCGCTGAACGAAACGCTCTGATTTTATGTCAGTTTAAGGGCGTATTAACCGGTTTATTTTTAAACCTAAATCAGTATCAAGTACATTAGGAGCGTTTTATTTAGGTTTGGCTCTACCTTAACCTTAAAAAACCGGTTTTCCTAAAAAGCGAAATCAAATAGGTTCTGAATCAATTTAGCGGTTTATAAAGGGTTTCATTTCGCTCTTACTGATGGCATCGCCTTCGCCGGTTCAATTCAAATTTATAATGATTTTATGTCAGTGTCTTTCCAACTACAGAGCGAGTGAGTGAAGTAGTGTGTCAGTACACAAATACAAAATGAATAACTTGACTCACTAGACGCTAGCAAACGTGTCAATAAATGCATCAATCTCTGAGCATTAACAAGTTGTGACTTGTTTAGTTCAAACAAAACAAACACGTGTCGCTCTGGATTAAACCGGTTTATTAAGGTTTTAGGTACCGCTTTCATTTTGGACGCGCTCCGAACGAAACCTTTACTAAAAACCGGTATTAACCTTTATTTACCGGGATTTTCAAAACCGGTTACAACCCCTACCGCGCACCTCGTTTCCCCCCACCACATCTTAATTTTTACTTCTGCGCAATAACGGTCTGCGCTAGAGTTTCGTACCGCGACTTATACTGTTTAAACAGTCTAGTTCAAATGCAATAATACTATGAGATATTCTGAAAGAGAATGCCTGTTTTTTAGTTTGAGGTTGTATTATATTTTTTGTAAAAGAAAAGTGTATTAAAATTATTTCGCAATACCATATGTAAAAAAAGAAATTTATCATTAGCTTAGTTTTTTTTTTCAGTAAAAAATTTGTTTTCCCTCTTCTTTTAAAAAATATGAAGTAGAGTTTAATGAAAGCTTTGCTGTTTAATACTTAATAAGAATTTTAATATTTTTTTCTGCAAAACACAAATTTCTCTAATAAGAGGCACTGCCTATAAGATGCTGTCTATTTTTTATCAGTATAATGTTGAATAAGGACAGCGCCAGTTTTAAATTGCTGTCTCTATGTAAATACGTGAATATCCCACCTTACAAATATTTGAGATTTTATATTTGCTCCTAACTTTTTCCATTTCTTTAGTAAACATAAGTAACAAAATTGGCTAAGTTCTTAATAAAAAAATATCACATAGGTGGACGTTTTACGGTGTAATGTTACATTTATCAATAGGGTATTTGACAAGTTTTAGGAAAACGATCTCACGTTATTGACTAACTAGCAAACCAGTGAACCAAATGTTCACCAAAACCTAATTTAAAAAAAAATATGCATTTAATTAATTGAGAACTTCGGAGATTTTGTGTGGTTTCGTTTGAAATTCGTGATTTCTCGAAAACCGCAAGTGCTACGTTACTCAAATCCGGTTTGTAGTCTTATCAGACTATTCTTAACTTATAACTTAAATATTCTCTTTATCTATCTCTTACGGTTTGGCCGCTGAAACAGCACCACAGACGGACGGACGGACTTGTCTAATAGATAAGAGATATTTATGGAGTCCGTAAAAAGTGGATATTCATCATTCTGTTGCGTATTTTAGTAAAACTAACCAAATCAAAAACTCCATTTTCAAATTGCCGCGTAATATGGCGTCTTACTTGTGGGTGACGTCACACGACTGTTATTAAAACGCCAAACGATACAATGTAATGTCACTTTAACCGGAAGTTTACTTGCGTGTGACGTCATTTTTGGCTCCGCCAATCCGAAACGTTTTGGGTCACGTGACAATAGATAAGAAAACTATTATCTTGTTCGTGGGTTTTTAGAAATGTATGAATATTTTTTTGTAAAAATATTAAAAACCCCTGCCAATATTCATTCTAAACACAGATGCTAACGCACTTTATTTTTAATACTGTCAAATACCCTATTGTAGCCGATCTCTTTCTAATGGGATTTACTTTAAACTTCACTCAGCGATAAATTAAAAATTTATTTCTCACCTTCTGCAAAACGGTCATACATCATTCACAAATATTCATTGAGCCCATAAAAGTGGTAATTTACTTTAATTTGAATCAGTTTTTCAAATATAACGCGGCAAACACTTTCTGAATTATTTCACGAAACTTTGGCAGCAAGTTTACAGACATGTGACGTCATTGTAAACGGCCAATCACAGCCGTTTTCGATCACGCTAGGCACTCAGCGCTCCAGACGGTCACGACCACGATCAGTCGGGGTCGTTGGTCGCAGAAGCTACGGCTACGACGGGGGCCAACGAGATTGCTATGGTTATCGCAATCGCTTACGATTTCATTTTCGTATTTCTGACCGCTGAAGGCTTTGAAATGCCAGGCGCTCCTTTTTTCTTTTGCATTGGTAAAAACAATATTAGAAAAGTCATTGTCAGAAATAATAAAATGAAATTGTAAGCGATAGCGATAGCCATAGCAATCCTGTTAGACGATTGACAACCCTGGTCGTTGCGACCACTGGACGCGGTCGTGGGCGTCTAGTGCGCAAGGTGCTTTAAAATAGATCAAAAGCAAATTGCAATGCGTCTCTTGGTATGTCAGTTTTTAACTTATTTTCTATCATCGCGGTTTTTCTAGTTAAATTTTATTTTTAAATCTACTTAAATATTTCAGCCGTCGAAATTTTTATGTAAAACTTTGTTGATGATATGGCTATGTGCAAATTCGTATAATATTAGTTGTTGAGGCTCAAAATTATTTTGGAATGTAATAGGAAGTCATGCCCCAATTCTAGGTGGTGAAAACTGAAAATTAAACACTTAAAAGAATACAATTTATAATAAAGTTTTAGCAATAAATCATTTAAGATATTGTAATGTAAAGTGATAGAGAAATACTAATATTATTGTGATAGATATATAAACTATTTTTTTTTACCTACCAATACGTCAAAATTTAATAATTTAAGGAAGACAGTTCATCTCATGACCTTTATTACTGAGATTTAAAGTTGAATATTATTCGCTTGTAAAAAGTCGTTTAAGACCTCAGCTCACATAGGCGTGTTATTATCGATAACATCGGGCGCATTATCGCGATATGTTTTTATTACATTATGTATTTGGTTGGGTACGAAGTTACACACCGCTGCGATAATAACGACGCAATAGAGGTATGAAAAATTATCGCAATAATTCATCAGATATTATCGACTGATAAGCATGCGCTGATATGGGGGAAATTAATTCCTTCAGTGACAGAGTTCATGTCGTGAACTGAATCGCACGAAAAAATGACGTTTACGACCATAGACCTGAGAATAGACTTAGAAATACCAGCATGAAATTGATAAAATTATTGTAAGAGAAGACGATAGTGCTGTCTATACCTTTTGGTACAAATTGTATGGACAGAGATTCATAAAAAAGACACACAGAGCACAGGGCAAATTGTTCCAAATTAATCAACTTGAATAAGTATTTATCTAAAGTAACAAGACATGAACTCAAAATTTCAATATCGCAAATCTTTTGATGTTTTGCGATCGCCATACAGGTCGCTTAGGAGGTGATTATTCTATTCCAATAGTATCTAATGAAGGAGGGCTACCGCGTTTTGACTCACGAGATGGCGCCACTGTAGAGTGTGGTCCTTAAGTGTAGCTTTTGAACTTTGTTCATACGCGCTTTGTTAATATCAAAGTTTGCATTAAATCATATTTTAATACAAAAGAACCGTATCGTAAACGCAATCGGCCATGCCACAGTGCTACGCAGTCTTGTTTTTTCTTAGCTCCGCTTTTAAATCACTGACATTCATTGTTACATTAATCAGAATTTTGCCATAATTATTCGGAGTTATTACCAAATATATTTCGACCTATCCATAGGATAAAGCTACTTCTGCATAATCCCTACTTTACAGTAGCGCGATTTGAAGTTTGTAAGATGTAAAATTTGCTGTAACTTGTATTGGTATTTTTCTATTATTTGTTTTTTTTTACCAATCATATAAAACATTGAGAAGCAAATTATGACGCATTTATTGTTTAAAAAAATCTACATTAACGGCTCATATTTTGTTATTAAAGAGTATCTTATGTGATTATGTGACAATTTACTACGGACATCTTTGTGTTATATATGCATATCGGACCTTATGCATGGGAAACGTGTCAATATTATATAAAGATATAACTTTGTTTTACAAAATTTATATGTCCTGCCGCGTCACATTATGATAATATGGCAAATAAGAAAAATAGAATCAAACATTTAGTAAAAAGTCTCAGTTTGTAACAAAATTGAAGCCGTGCAGACTGCTTTCTTGCCCATACAAAAGGTACTAGTGCTCTTGACTCTATATTCTTCGGAAACAAAAATCACATCATCATCATCATCATCATCATCAGCCTATTAATGTCCCCACTGTTGGGGCACAGGCCTTCCCTATGGATGGAATAGGGAGATTGGGCCATGACCCACCACGCGGGCCCAGTGCGGATTGGTGGGTGCTAACGACTGCAGATGCAGCCGGGACCAACGGCTTAACGTGCCTTCCGAAGCACGGAGGAGCTCGAGATAGTAATTTATGGTCACCCATCCAATGACCGACCACATCAAAAATCACATGTACCTTTATTCAATTGCTATCTTCGAAGTTATATAAGTTTTAGAATAAATGTTTTTACCAGTAAAACATATGCGTCCGTTTCGCCTACAAGTATAATAAAAGTAGTTTGATAACATTTTCATATGTAACTTTATTCTATGCATAGGTCGATTTATAACATTATTTTAATAAGAAATAAATCCGCGTAGTCAACCCACATGCAATAACATTTGACGTTTCGGAGACCTCGCGCTACACAAGCGCCTCTAGCGGCGGATTCATTTGCGATAGCCTTCAGTAGAGTGCGTCAATAAAAATGCTTTCAGCGGCTTTATGCAACCATATTAAATACCCTAGATACACCACGTGCGCTTAAAATGTGTCCCAATCAAGAAGTGCTTGAACACGACTCAAGCACTTCTTGATTCACAGTCACGCGCGGACCGTTGAAAAGTCAACATGCCGCTGAGCTCCGTAAAACCAGGCGAAAAAAATCTTATAGAATGTAAAATGACGTTTTTTCGACAGGTATCTAATCAATATTTGTTAATTTAACGCATTTGAAGTAAATTTGGTTTTAATACTTACTATAAACTGATTTAATAGAAAATATTTGTGATGTTCAAATGCATGGTTTATAATATAGCAGTCTCTTTTCCTCGCGGACCGTACCTGCTATATTACTAACAGCGCATTCAGAATTGCGCGTAGAGTCATAGAAATAAGGTCTTTATTCTTCTGCATATAGCAATAAGTCGTAAAATTTTTCAAGCTTACATATCGGACTGTCGTTACTCTTGGACGCGTGCGTTTTAATTAAGATCTTATGCATTATGCTTTAAAGGTGATTTTCAATGTTAAAATAATGCCTTATATTGTTTAGACTACGCGATCATCTTACGGAGCTCCGTGGATCGTCCAATGTACCTTTTGGACAGGTTTCGGGCATGATTTTGTTCGTGTTGGTGTATCTAGGGTATTTAGTATCGTAGGCTTTATCGCTTAAAAGAAACAAAATGTTGATTCTAAATGTACAAACATTCAATAACCATTTTTATATCGTAGTACTTACGTTGATGTTACCATTTGCTTTTTCTATAATATATCTATGATTAATAATAATAAGTTTCGTTCATAATTAACGAATAATAAGCTCGGATTAGTTAGGCATTGTCCTAATACAACGCGATAACGCGATCATCGCGCTTTTAAACGACGCGACCATCGCGTGATCGCGAACTGGGTGTCCTAATAGAACGCGAATACGGAACGGGTTAGCCCTGCCCCTCTCCCCGCTTCCTATCGACGCGACGCGATCATCGCGCGAACTTCAGATAGGACACCTATTCATCATTAATAGGTTTGATTGCGCGTTCGCGTGAACTAAGTTCGAGCGAATAGATTTTTAAACATTTTAGTCGCGTGAATGCATCGCGCGATCGCCTATTAGGACACCTATTCTAGATCAATATGTTTGATCGTCGAATCGTACGATGATCGCATCGCTCATTCGCGTTATCGCGTTGTATTAGGACAATGCCTTACGCATAGTTTAGTCTTTGCTCATGGAGTAAGAGTGGTGGGAACAAATTGTCATCGCGACTAGCTTATTCATCTATTAATTATAATGGTGTGATCACACTATCGGGAAACGCCGTTATTGCGATGTACGACGCTTAAAACACAGATGGAAAAAATTCGTAACAACTCAACACGGTAATGTAACAACTTAACGCGGTAATGTAACAACTTAACGCGGTAATGTTACAACGGCATTCATTTACTGCCGTTGAATCTAAGGCGATAGGTTTAGTACACCAAAAACGAGAAAATTAACGCGAAAAGCGATAGGCTTATATAAGGTGGATAGCGACAAAATCATTGTTTCTCAAAATTTTGCTAACGACGCCTAAGTTTGTGCCATGATCAATTATTGCCGTTAATGGTTCAATAGCCGTTTTTTCTCTGTTTTATTGCCAATAAACGGAAATCGCCGTTTAACGGTCGTGTGACCCCAGCATTAAGGGGCATTACTAGCATTACGGGGCTAAGTTTATGTTTTATAGTCAGGGCCGGACCGTGAGTTTAGGGGGCCCCGGGCTAATATTACTTAGGGGCCCACTTAATGAGGGCTACCGTTTTCTGCCTCACCAGATGGCGCCACTGTTGAGTGAGGTCCTAAATTGTAACTTTTAAAGTTTATTAATACGCACATGAAATCAAAGGTTACATTTAGATCGTATTTTAACACAAAAGAACCATATTCTAAACATAATAGGCCATGCCACAGTGACGCGCAGTTCCGTTTTATTCGGAAAAATGGGAACATAATCATTTTTCTAAGCTCAAATTTTTAATAACTGACATTCATCGCCACATAACTCATATTTGCCATAATTAAGCCGAATTGTTACCAATTATTCACAACATTATTTTAATTAGAAATAAACCCGCGTAGTCAACCAACAAGCAATAACATTTGACATTTCGGAGACCTCACGCTACACTAGCGCCTCTAGCGGCGGATTCATACGCGATAGCCCTCATTACCCAAAGTATAGAAAAAATGAGACAGTAAACTATTTAATTTAAATTATAATATTTTATGCCTTACTGTTATACAACCGTTAATAAATGGACAAATTACAAAGCAAACTTTCTGCAAAGTGCAGAAATGGCATTTTTTTTAATTTGCTCATCACATTCTAGGGGTAATATAAATGGGGTTATATTCAACAATATATTTTTTTTACATTGAATTTACTTATAATCATTGTATGTACTGCTTTATGAATTAACTGAGGGCCCTTGAATCCACGGGGCCCTAAAAGCCATATGGTAGATCCGGCCCTGTTTACAGTATTACCGAAGTGATACTTAAAAATTATTATTATTTTAACTGACATGTCATAAATTAATATGAATATTTCTAACACACATATTAATATTCGAGAATATTATGCGATACAAACATGTGCCTTTTACTCATTGCAATAATAAGAGTGGTGATTTCATCGTCAGAGTAAATAATGATACCTATATATTATTGGTATTTTTATGCGCAAGAAATTAAAAACTAAAGTAATATCTAAGCCAATTCTATGTTTTCATTGATGAAAAAATAAGGCTAGATTAATAAATGACTGTATTCAGATAAATAAATAAAAGTTATTAGGGTGTAACTGAGCGTTGTGATATTTTATCTTCGTTTGATGCCATTGATCCAAAGTGTGTTTTAAAATGTTTAATAAGTAAACCATTTTATTTGTTTAATAAATAAATATTGATTCATTGTGCCTTAAGAGTAGTATAATACTCTAAGTATAATTATATTTTCACCGATAGATAATACGTTTACATTTAAAAAGTGCTGCGCAAGATTCTGTATATTGTATTAGATGTTGTAAAAATGTTTCGTAAAAGCTTTAGTTGTTTTGTTTGACATACAAAAAAATACCACTATACTCAAACAATTTAACTATACAATGTTACCACTACATAACACATTACTTATTATTAATTATGTTTAATTAATTTAATCATTGCTTTCGGACATGCTATTATTGTTACGTATAAGAATCTGTTTTTAAATTAACAAATAAATAACACTTTCTATTTTCTATTATAAAAAGTGTAAAATTATTCCATTATTTGTAAAGGGCGGAATTTTGACAATGTACACTTCTATTAGAATAAATTTATATAAGTGCATAATTTACAAATCATTATTTTGTAATTATCATTAAATACTGGCACTGTTTGTTAAAATTATAGTGCCTAGTGGGGAAACAGAGTCCTATACTTAAAATTAATGACAGTACAGTACAGTACCCCCAGCACGAACCAATATCGAATTCGAATAGTTTGCGAGTCCGAAATGTCATTGTCAAATTTTGTATGGAATCTTGAACAGCAGCGCCTCAACGGACGTAACGAGAACTAAAAATCAGTACACATTTGACAATGTCATCTCGCACTCGCAAAACTATTTGAATTCGAAAAAAGTCCTAATGTATGTATGGAATACATAAGAGTAAGCTCAGATTTTTTGCAGTATTTTATTGATATAATTCTCTGTATTAACTTAGACTATCTTTGAATAAACGAACAAAATGTATTCTGTTTTTTAGACTAAACAGCTTAGAAGGAAATGTATAATTTTATAATATTTTATGTCACAATGTTTCGGCTGTATAATGATGTGTAATTTTATACTCCGATATTTAATATAGACATGTTTATATATATAAGTATAATTTTAATGGACAAAGTATGTATGAAGTATCGGAATTATTGTTGTTACATAGTTTAATAAGTTGTTGATCTTGTATTTTCGATATCGTTCGCGGGACGATAATAAATAACCTTAAATCGGAATTGTTTTATTGTAATAATTTTAAATACACGCATAGCATAATGATTTATTACTTATTAGATAAATATTGAAAAGCTTATTTTTTTCCAATAATTTGGAGCAAGCTCTTAATTTTTTGTGTAAAAGTAATGGATTTATTAATGATCTCTTATAACAAATAATAGCTAGTTTTTATCTAGCGACTACTGTGTCATCTTGAGCATTATGATATATATGAAATTATAACCATGTTTGTTGAGTAACTTCATTAACATATTGAAAGGTAAACTTCAAGAATATTAAGTCTTCCAAAGTTCCAATTAAATTGCAAAAATGTATCGTCCCGCTCTGGCCATAACGCGCACCAAATATTATACAAATTGTTGTTTTGTGTGTATAATTTAATGTTTATTGTGTATAATTTTAGTTCATCACTAAAGATATTATTTTGTACTCAATTTGTAAGCAGCAGTAAGGATATTATTACGAATAAATAGTTTCTCTATTGAACTGTAGTTTGAATAATAATTAAATTAAATATTGAGGGTATGTAATATAATTTGATGAACCTACCACAACCTTATTTAAAAATCCTTTCCAAGACAGATAGACGCGACGCGCAACTTATAAGGTGACAAAATTAATAAACCAAATGTGTATATTTTTCTATAGCAAATTAAGTTTTACTAGCAAACCAGTGAACCAAATGTTCACCAAAACCTGATTTCTCGAAAACCGGAAGTGCTACGTTACTCAAATCCGGTTTGTAGTCTTATCAGACTATTCTTAACTTATAACTTAAATATTCTCTTTATCTATCTCTTACGGTTTGGCCGCTGAAACAGCACCACAGACAGACGTACCTGTCTAATAGATAAGAGATTTTTCCCAGCTTACGCTGGCTACTGCATCTACTTTATAGTTAGTTTTATTGAAAATTTCAACAGGGATCTAACATTTTTCCGTATAAAAAGTTAAAAAACGGTACAACATATCATATGTCTTATTCTCTCACCGAAACGGGATATGATAAAGCGATATATCGTCATTAACTGTCAGACTACAGTGGAGTTTGACAGTAGTCTGACAGTTAATGCCCATATATCGCTTTATCATATCCCGTTTTGGTGGTCATGCTAGAGAGGCAGGTAAAATCTCTTAACTATTAGACAAGTCCGTCCGTCTGTCTGTGGTGCTGTTTCAGAGGCCAAACCGTAAGAGATAGATAAAGAGAATATTTAAGTTATAAGTTAAGAATAGTCTGATAAGACTACAAACCGGATTTGAGTAACGTAGCACTTCCGGTTTTCGAGAAATCAGGTTTTGATGAACATTTGGTTCACTGGTTTGCTAGTATGTCTTATTCTCTCACCGAAACGGGATATGATAAAGCGATATATCGTCATTAATTGTCAGACTACAGTGGAGTTTGACAGTAGTCTGACAGTTAATGCCCATATATCGCTTTATCATATCCCGTTTCGGTGGTCATGCTAGAGAACAAACTATAAGACCAGTATTATAGAAATATTCTCAGTGATTAATCTAGTCTTGAGCATAGTTAGAAAGGGATGTCGCTATTTATAGCACATAGCGATATCCATTTCTAACTGTACTCAAGTAAAGATCAACACTTAGCTGTCATTCTGTAATACGAGCCTAAGTATAGGTGAAATCTTTCCGTTTTTGCATGATTAAAGAACAAACTTTTACACCAATAAAAGTAGTATGGCTATCGGCTGCTGTGAGTGCTGTGTAGTTTCATTGTATCGACCTCCGTGCCCCGTAGTTTGAGCGCCGGGTTTCATGGTGTCACCAATTCGAGAGGTCCCGGGTTCGAATCCCGATGGAGGCAGATGTTTGTGTGATGAATACGAGAATTTGTACTCTAGTCATGGGTGTTTAATATGTATTTCTATATAAATATACTTATTTAAGTACAGTGTATGTATTCTATCCGTTACCCTAGCATCCCATAACACAAGCCTTACAGACAGTGTCTACTTTGGTGGTAGGCTAGTTGGAAATATTTATTTATTTTATTTTATTTATTTAATTGTGAACAGCATAGGAATTATGTAATATGCAATCTCACTAACAATCTCATTTATTTGATTTCTGATAAATGTCAAATATCTTCTACAGCCATAGCGACATTTTGCCGTGTAATTGCGTAATGCATATCAAACTAATATCTAAAATGGCAGCTACCGAAATCAGAAGTGAGATTTTAAAATTAAAAAAAATGTATGCGTGTACTAGTGTACACACGTAAGAAGTGAAACTTCTTTAAGGCCTTATTTTTTTCGAAAAATGATCTACATGCAACTTTCCAGAAATATATACAGGGTGTCCCAAAAAGTAGTGTCAAGCGGTAGTCCCGGGATAGAACACCCCTTGGGGAATCCGAAACACCCCCATGTATGTTCCGCGATTTTTTATAGTTTGCGAGTTATGAATTTTTTACTAAAATTTTGAGAATTAATGACCTCGACAACTTAAAAATTTAATAAAAAAAATTGGATAAGTCTTTTCGGAGATATTTTTTTTGCAACTCAATTCACATGAATTGTACTTAAATAACTAATAACTTTGTCTTTGTAACTATGATGGAAGTTTAAAAAATTATGGTGCAAAGTGAAAAAATTATGGTCAGTGAATTATGGTCTTAAGATTTCAACTTTAAATTTAAAATCTTAATAGATAGTTTTATAGCTCCTAAGTAAGTTTAAAAACTGCGCCAGACTCTCAGCTTTCATAATCATTTAAAAAAAGTAGTACTTAAACGGCTACTTTTGCTAAAATCGGACTTCAAAGACAGTGAGGTGGAAAAATCTGAAAATTAGCGATTTGGTATCGGGAGTTTTTTTTTTGGCATTTTATCATTCTTAAAGTTAATTAGATTGTTAACTAACAAAAATTTATTACAAGAACGCTAAGATGTTAACATATGGATTATCTTGTGGACCGATGAATCACACTTTAAAAGGTGTGGGATTTTTAACATCCACAATTATCACTCATGGAACATCGAAAATCCACACCTGGCACGTGACTCAAATTTTCAAGAACAATTCAGCGTGAACTTGTGGTGAAGCATAATAAACGAACAGCTGATTGGTCCGTTCGAACTACCAGACCGATTGAATGGCGAGTCCTACTTGGAATTTTTACGACAAGATCTCAATAATTTACTCGATGATGTAGGCCTTTTAACGCGGAGGAACATGATTTTTCAAAACGATGGCGCTCCATGCCATTACGCGAGCATCGTCAGACATCATTTAAATGAAAGGTTTGGAGACAAGTGGATCGGGCGAGGAGGTCCATTGCGTGGCCTCCACGGTCCCCGGACTTAAAACCTATTGATTTCTTTGTTTGGGGATATTACAAAGAACTGGTCTACGCTAAAGACATAAGAAATATTCAAGAATTACGAACGAAATTGCGACACGCAGAAGAAACAATAAAAAATAACAGAATAGCGTTTATTCAGCTAAAAGAAAACTGTTTTAGAAGGTGCAGAATATGTATTGAGCAGGAAGGGAGACATTTTGAAAACTTTTTGTAATAAATAGCAGTTACTTTTTGTTTCATTTAGCTTCCCCTTTTTAAAGATTTTATTTTTGTAACTAAATTTAATTTTTAGGTATCACACAATACAGCAAGTTCAAAAAATCGTTTTTTAACTTTAAATTAAACTTAAAAATGTTAGAATCTTAGCTTTTTTGCAACCATTTTCGATTAGTTAACAATCTAATTAACTTTAGGAAAGATAAAATGCCAAAAAAAAACTTCGATACCAAATCGCTAATTTTAATTTTTTTCCACCTCACTGTCTTGGAAGTCCGATTTTAGCAAAAGTAGCCCTTTAAGTACTACTTTTTTTAAATGATTATGAAAGCTGAGCAGTCTGGCGCAGTTTTTAAACTTACTTAGGAGCCATGAAACTACCTATTAAGATTTTAAATTTAAAGATGAAATCTTAAGACATAATTCACTGATCATAATTTTTTCACTTTGCACCATCATTTTTTAAACTTCCATCATAGTTGCAAAGACAAAGGTATTAGACATTTAAGTACAATTCATGTAAATTGAGTTGCAAAAAAAATATCTCGGAAAAGACTTATCCAATTTTTTTTATTAAATTTTTAAGTTGTTTCATTGGTCTGTTTGGTCATTAATTCTCAAAATTTTAGTAAAAAATTCATAACTCGCAAACTATAAAAAATCGCGGAACATACATGGGGGTGTTTCGGATTCCCCAAGGGGTGTTCTATCTCGGGACTACCGCTTGACACTACTTTTTGGGACACCCTGTATATAGGCGTGCGCTAAGATTTTTCAAAAACTCACCCACTAAAGGGGTATAACTACACCTTACCTTACCTTACCTTACCTTACCTTACCTTACCTTACCTTACCTTACCTTACCTTACCTTACCTTACCTTACCTTACCTTACCTTACCTTACCTTACCTTACCTTACCTTACCTTACTTTGTGTGAAACACGAATATTTGCTGTCGATACTTTTTTTTTAAAGTTGACAGAAGAAGCAATTGTTCGGATGAGGTAAATAGTGCTCTTTTAAAAAAAAGATGGCGCGTAACCAAAAAACGTGACGCGTAACCGAAAAAATGTGACGGTAAATATTTTTCCAACGCCGATAAAGAAGTTTCACTTCAAAAATTCAATATCGTTCATTCCGTCTAGGCTGTTACAAGCACTTGTGAATGTCGAAAAGCAACGCCATCGGTTCGCAAATCTACGGCGATTTTCTTACTTTTCACCCTGTATTATATACAGACTCGTCAAATTGAAAAATGACTTCAATGAGGTAACTCATAAAGTCACTTTTCATTACAAATGCAAATAATATAAAAATTATGACTATAAAAAAAAGATATATAAAAAACTGGTTTAACAAAATTTAGGAATGCCGTGTCCTACTGTTTAGGCAAAAAAAAATAATGAACGATTAAAGTTTAGTACAACGATTAATAGTACCCAATGACACAAGAGCAGACTCATCTCCGCTGGCAGCACCCGTTCACGAGCATGACGCAGAACCAGCCATCGCTTCGCTCAACCAAATTTTAGGGAACGCAACGACCCGCCTCACACGACACCCTGTTTATTTTACAGAATTGCCCCGATGTTCCTTATGAGACATTCCATTGGACTGGCATATAAACATTACTCAGAATAGGCGTGTATTTATACCTAACTAGCTGACTCGGCGAACTTCGTACCGCCCAAAAGTAATAATTTGCAATAAATTAAAATTGCGACTATAATTTGAGATTTAAACTATCCTATCTCTCAAGTTGGATCGAACTGCACATGGTGTGCGAATTTCATTATAATCGGTTCAGTGGTTTAGGAGTCCATTGAGGACAAACATTGTGACACGAGATTTATATATATTAAGATTATCATAATTAGGTAAGGCTCATCCTCTTTCCTCGACTATTTTTAGATTTACAATTCCATGCTAATTGTTGTTTTCGTCGGAAAATACCAGGACTGACCATTTAACTAATTACATTTTAATCCATGTAATAATT